ACACACACACACACACACACACACACACACACAGCTGCTGCTGTCCGTCAGTAACTGTGTCTTTGAGTTTCAGTCTCTGACACAGATCTGGAGTAAAGGTTTGAAGAGTGGACCTGCAGGACCCATGTGTCTCTACCTGGACCTGAACTCAGCTGCAGTGAAGACATGAAGAGTTTTCAGTCATGAGCTGAGTCAGACACAACGACAGGAACATGTGGGGACGTTCAGGTGAGGGGTGGAGCCTGTAGAGCAGCAGGAGGCGGGACATGGCGTCTAAACTGTGTAAAGATCAGTGTTGTTGTTTACAGCTCGTCCACACGGCGTCGGCCCTMATCACYAAAACATCTGGAACCTCCTCGTCTTTCCAAGTGGACGTCTTCGTCTTCTACGTGTACGGCTCCTCTTCTTCATCCTGAGACATTTGTGTTCTTCAGTTTCACGTCACGTGTTAGAAACCTCAGAGACACGCCCACTCGCTGACTGAGAAGGTTCCAGATGTTTTCTCACGTGGACTCACTCTGACATTTGCTCGTTTAACTTTAAAAGTAGAGCATTCACATCTGTGAGGAGCCATTCAGGGTTTAGCATCTCACCCGAAGACACTTGGGGATGGGCTGAGATTCGAGCCGCCGACCATCTGGTTTCAGAAAATGTACAACGACACTGACTCAGACATTTGTTCTCACATACAGAACCTCCAGAACACGTCGGGAACACGTCTGTGGTTCAGTTCATGTATGTAAACAGCTTCTGATCCAGTTTGTCAGTAAGGTCAACCTCAGTCCAGCGTCTGTTACACAACAACTAAACTAACGTAAGGAACTCCGACTCTAAAACCTCATCTTTACTCTCTGGCTTAAAAAACTTGCCTGACTCTGTTGCCTCGAAGGTTCAGTCCCAGTTGAAGGAAATTCACAAAAAGCAAAAGAACGCGAAAAAACCAAATCTGAGTTTGGTTTTAGTTCTGTTGTGTTTTGATGTTTACTTTTTGAGCACACACACACACACAGCGTTCATACAGACGACATGTATGAAGACATTTTTAACATCATGTATCTTTATATCAAAGAAAACATGAGGAGAATGTGAAAAAAACTCTGATCTCCAAAGAAGAGGAAGAAATGAGGTGATGATGGAGGGATGAGGACGAGTCGTGTGTTTCAGTGTCTGAGTGATTTTAGAGATGTAAGAAGAGAACGAGCAGCTGGTGTCCACGACTCTTCACCTCCATCAGGCTCTTTTCATCTTTACGGGGGGGGGGGGTCACCAACAACAGGAAGATAGATGTGGACACACACACACACACACACACACACACACACACACACAAACAATAATGATCATCAAAATCCTTGAGTGGATCAAATAAAATTATTGGTTAAAGAACATGTACAGAACATGTAGTAAGTGGCCAAATGTATGTGGACAGATGGATGTACTCTACATGTACAGAACATGTAGTAAGTGGCCAAATGTATGTGGACAGTGATGTTTTTTTCCCTCTTCTTTCATCTTTCCTTTCAGCTCCTTCACTTTTCTCTCTCCGTCCTCCTGATGCTCTCTTGTTTTGTCTCAGTGGTTAAATCCCACCTGCTCACCTCCTCTCCACCTTTTCATGTCCTCCTCCCCCTCTCTCCCCCCTCCTCCCCCCTCCTGTGTGTCAGACTCGTGAATCACAGGACAAGTCTGTTCACGTGTGAATGAAGAGAAACTTTCAGATAAATCATCATTTACTGTGTCACTGTCTGTCACATTTAACACGTTTAACATTTTACACATGTTAAACATGTTAAACATGTTAAACACAATACTAACATGAGGATTCTCTGAGAGTTTGATTGTTCACTTTTGTTGCAGTCTCATGAATCAGGGGAGTTTTTACATGAAGATCAGATAACATCTGTGTCACCATGACGACCTCACACATGTCACATGACATGTTAGAATGGGTTTCTGGCCTCACACTCAGGCAAAGATCCGTGGATCATAGATGAGTTTCATGAGTTTCATGTGGAGTTGTGTGTTCACACTGCAGCAGAGAAAGTGACGTGTTGACAGTTCACAGGTACAGGTGAGTCGGGGGGGACATGTTCTCAGGTTACTGTGTGTGTGTGTGTGTGTGTGTGTGTGTGTGTGTGTGTGTGTGTGTTTAGATCAAACACTCTCTGTTTGTTGTGAGTTTCAATCGGCTCATTAACTCCAACAACCAACGAGAGACAGGCAGACCTCCTCTTCCTCTCCGGCTGTACCGCGGTCGTGTAACCGATCACGTCACATGTTCGGATGGACAACGTGTTGATGACATCACTGCTGACTCAGCTGCTTCAGTCTCTGACTTTAATATGACAGGTGATGGACCAATCAGGATCAGGTCATGTGATCACAGGTGTGTAGCAGTAAGCTAGCAGCATGCCACAGTGGAGTCATGGTTTTAGTGCAGCTAGTGTAGCAACATTCCTGCTGCGGATCAGTGACGAGGACAGAGAAACAAAATCAATCATGAGACAGTCACACAGCTGAGACAGACAAGTTACACACCTGAGACAAGTTACACACCTGAGACANAGACAAGTTACACACCTGAGACAAGTTACACACCTGAGACAGACAAGTTACACACCTTAGACAAGTTACACACCTGAGATAGGTAATACACTATGTTCACCACTAGTGTGAAGTAGTGTAGTACTGTAGTACTGTGGAGTACTGTGCCTGAAGGTGCTGATACTGGTATGATACCATCATGATGTTACCATGTTCCCCCAACTGACAACACGCCCACGTCAGAGGTCGTCTACAAATCAGAGTCCAGTGCAGGAGGACGACGCCCAAGTAGGTGATGACAACAGGACGTACGTGTGTCAGACACAATTCTTTGACAATGTCCTGAGAGACAGACAGGTAGACAGACTTCAGTCTTATCTCATGTGTGATAGAGGAAAACACAATCGTCCAAACTGAGTGACTCTGTGTGTGTGTGTGTATGTGTGTGTGTGCTAATGTGTGTGTGTGTGTGTAAATGTGTGTGTGTGTGTATGTGTGTGTGTGTTAATGTGTGTGTGTGTGTGTATATGTGTGTGTGTGTGTATGTGTGTGTGTGTTAATGTGTGTGTGTGTGTGTGTTTAATCTCTGTTTTTATGTTTTTACTGAATCTGATTAAATCTTTTAATCTGTTTGTTCCTGAAACTGAATGAAACAGTTTCTGCTGCTGGCGACTCAAACACTCAAACACTCAAACACTCAGACACTCAGAGTCTCAGAGTCTCAGAGTCCTGGTTCAGAGCCGCTCTGATGATCGTACCTCAGGTCCAGACTCATCCGTCTGGTTCTCATCTCTCCAAAGATAAACTTCAACGTAAACCGACTTTATTCTTCTTCACTCGACCAGAAACAAAAGATCCTCCTCTGTGAAAACAGACGACAAACAGCTGCAGCTCAGAGACACACACCTCTGACTGGACCTGGACCTGGTAACCAGAGTTACCAGAGTTACCAGAGTTACTAGAGTTACCAGAGTTACCAGAGTTACTAGAGTTAATAGAGTTACCAGAGTAACTAGAGTTAGTAGAGTTACCAGAGTTACCAGAGTTTCTAGAGTTACCAGAGTTACCAGAGTTACTAGAGTTACCAGAGTTACCAGAGTTACTAGAGTTAATAGAGTTACCAGAGTTACCAGAGTTAC